CATTTGGGTGCGCCCCAAACCAGAGGCTTCCGTGACGACCCCCCCCGGGGCCCCCGCCTGTCTGTTTTGTTTCCCGACTTGTGCCTAAACCGGAGGCTTCCGTGACGAGCTCGGGGGGGGCCCGGGCGCAACCTAAACCGGAGGCTTCCGTGACGAGGGGGCGCCCAAACCGGAGGCTACCGTGACGACCCCCTCCCCCCGGAGGTTTCCTGGTCGGGGGCCCTCGGGGGGGCCCTCTCGGGGCCCTCCAGGCCTTCCAATGCAATCTCGGAGGGCCTCAAGAGGGCTCCAAGAGAGCCTCAGGAGGGCCTCCAAATTTCAAATATATTGACAAACTTTGGAGCTCTCGTGGAACCGTCTTGAGCCCGCTCGAAGCCCTCCGGATCGCACTGGAAGGCCCTGGAGGGCCCGGGCAATGCCCCAAGAGGGCCCCTAGAGGGCCTCAAGGCGGCCCTCGGCGAGCCCCACGAGGGCCCCAAGGGGGCCCAAGAGATGCCCAAGAGGGCCCCTTGTGCACGACCACTTGCGTATGTGAACACTGCTGTCCATGACCACTCTCGTATTCGACTGCTATTGTATATCACCCCTCCCTCCTGGCTCATCCCTTCACCCTCGTCGCTCCTCCTGGTGATCAGGGCAAGTCGCTTGGTGATTTTTTGGACGGGCTGGTGGGGATACGCGGAGCGCCAGCAATTTCCGGAAGCCTGCCTGAGGGCTCAAGGGAACCCCAAGTGGGCCCCGTGAGGCCCACAAGAGGACCTCGGGAGAGCCCCGCGTGGACCCCGAGAAAATCCAAAGGTAGGACGCGCGCTGCATCCTGATTCAGGAATGTCTCGGGGTCCACTTGATGCCCTGTGGGGGCATTCTCCGAGACTTCCTGAAACCCGCCCGAAGCCGGAGGGGGCCCGTGTCGCCGAGAACTCGCTAATACGGCTTTAATGTAATCTAGTTGCCCCCCAAGAGGGCCCAAATCCAATATTCAAAATGGTTTTTGGCTCTGGGCTATCGGGGGATCCATCCGGGGTCCCCCTGGAGCCCCTCGAACCCATTGAGGGCCCCAAAGAACGCCCCAGAGGGCGCCCATCCTTCAGGGGTCCAAATACATGTTTGGAGGGCCCGCATCAGGATGCATGGTGCAACGTGATTTTGGGCCGTTGCGTGGGCCACGCCGGTGCCCTCTTGGAGCCGTCTTGGGCCGCGCTGGGGCTGTCTTGAAGCCCCGAGGATGCCCCGAGAGAACCCCGAGAGAGTCCCGAGGAGGCTCCTGCGAGCGACATTTGCACGCACACTTTTACGTCGCATTGTTTCCGCGTGCTCCCTTGAAGCAAGAGGGTAAGGCTTTCCTCGATGTGGCATGCATTGCCGTTTGCCCCGCGGCGCGGCGTCGTGCTCGACAACAACGTCCCCCGCCATGCCATTGCGGTTGCATGATGCACCGTGCACCTTGACCTGGGGCCCACTGGGGGTCGGCTTGGAGCCCTCTCGGAGCTCTTTTGGGGGCCTCAGAATATTTTTTTTTCGGAGCCTCGTTGCGGCTTCGGGGGGGGGGGGGCCTCGCCCAGCTCGCTCGAGGGAAACCGCGAGCTCCGGAGTCCGACCGCCAGCATCAATCGTCTGGCACCCCCCGCATATCCTAACTTTCTCGGTAACCTAGGAAAGCGGGGCCCCGGGCGTCAGCCGAAATCGGCGGCGAGTTGTTGCCAAATCCCGGCAATTTCCGCGAGGTGCCACTGTCGAGCATTGATTCTGAGACAAACACCAAACGCACGCGAGTGGTTAAGATGATCGAGTCAACAGTAGCACCGAAAAATGTCAGCGGGCAATCATATGTTTCCTCTAGTTGCGAAGCCGCTCGCGCCCCAAGATGCAGATGCGATGGTGCCGCATCTGAAAACATTGTAGACGCACGCGCAAGAATGGCAGCGATGCTCCCATTGCTCCTTCGCCAACTCCGCCAAACAAGCACGCATTCCGACTCGATCGAGGAAGCTGCGCGGCACACTTGCTGCACTTCATGACTTCTGTTTGCGAGTTCCTTTGGGGCGGCGCCGGTCGTGCCCCGAGAGCGCTTCGCGCGTGGGCAATTCGTTTTGCTCGAGTCTGCAGCCGACGCACGCGCGGACCGCATTGACTTCGAAAACGCAAAACTCGTTACGCAAGGGTATGGTTTGCTAGGGGTCGGTTTGGCCGCGCCCGATGACTCCCCAGAGGGGGTCTGGGCGGATGCCGGGGGAATCCGGGGAAATCCGGGGACTCCCCAGGACTCCTATAGATTCTTATAGTTTCCTATGGATTCCTACAGATCGTGTTCCCAGAACACCATTCCCATACCACATTTTGAATGCCCGGAGCCAACTGTAGGCCACTTCGTGTTCTTCGTCTTCCCAGAACACCACTCCCAGGCCACATTTTGAATGCCCAGAGCCAACTGTAGGCCACCTCGTGTTCTTCGTGTTGCCAGAACACCATTCCCATGCAACATTTTGAATGCCCGGAGCTAGCTGTAGGCCATTTCGTGTTCTTCGTGTTCCCAGAACACCACTCCTGTACCATATTTTGATTGCCCAGAGCCAACTGTGGGCCACTTCGTGATCTTCGTGTTCCCAGAACACCATTCCTGTACCATATTTTGAATGCCCGAGCTGAGGCAGGCTGAGGCCGAGGCAGGCTGAGGCCGAGGCAGGCTGAGGCTGAGGCTGAGGCTGAGGCACGCCGAGGCAGGCTGAGGCTGAGGCTGAGGCAGGCTGAGGCTGATGCTGAGGCTGAGGCAGAGAGGCTGGCGCAGGCTGAGGCCGAGGCAGGCTGAGGCTGAGGCTGAGGCAGGCTGAGGCTGAGGCAGGCTGAGACTGAGGCTGAGGCATGCTGAGGCTGAGGCTGAGGCTGATGCAGGCTGAGGCTGAGAGCCCGACGCTGAGGCTGAGGTAGGCTGAGGCTGAGGCTGAGGCCGAGGCAGGCTGAGGCTGAGGCTGAGGCCGAGGCAGCCTGAGGCTGAGACTGAAACTGAGGCAGGCTGAGGCTGACGCTGAGGCTGCGGCTGAGGCTGAGGCAAGCTGCGGCTGAGGCAGGCTGAGGCTGAGGCTGATGCAGGCTGAGGCTGAGGCAGGCTGAGGCAGGCTGCAGGCTGAGGCTGAGGCTGAGGCCGAGGCAGGTTGAGGCTGAGGCCGAGGCAGGAGGCAGGCTGGGCTGAGGCTGAAGGCTGAGGCTGAGGCTGAGAGGCTGAGGTTGAGGATGAGGCCGAGGCAGGCCGAAGCTGAGACAAGGTGATGCTGAATGGGGGGGGGGAAGGGGGGGGAGGAGGGGAGGCTGAGGCAGGCTGAGGCAGGCTGAGGCCGAGGCAGGCTGAGGCCGAGGCAGGCTGAGGCTGAGGCTGAGGCAAGCCGAGGCAGGCTGAGGCTGAGGCTGAGGCTGAGGCTGAGGCTGAGGCTGAGGCTGGGGCTGAGGCTGAGGCAGGCTGAGGCTGAGGCTGACGCAGGCTGAGGCCGAGGCAGGCTGAGGCTGAGGCTGAGGCAGGCTGAGGCTGAGGCCGAGGCAGGCTGATGCTGAGGCTGAGGCAAGCCGAGGCAGGCTGAGGCTGAGGCTGAAACTGAGGCAGGCTGAGGCATCCGTAGGAATCCATAGGAATCCTCAGGAATCCCTAGGAATCCTTAGGAATCCGTAGGCATCCTTAGGAATCCGTAGGCATAGTTAAGCATCCTCAGGAATCCTTAGGAATCCTTAGGATTCCCTCGGAATCCTTAGGAATCCCCAAGAATCCATAGGAATCAGGATTCCTAAGGATTCCTAAGGTTTCCTAAGGTTTCCTATGGATGCCTAAGGATGCCTAAGGATGCCTTGGGAATCCCTAGGAATCCTTAGGATTCCATTGGATCCTAAGGCCGTTGCCACTGCGACTGTCATTGCGAATGCGACTGCGACTGCGAGAACAGCAGAATTCTACAACTGGATTCTCACCTGAATCTTAAGGGGAATGCTTCCAGATATGCTTATACACATCGCTGTTAGGTTGCTTTGCTGGGATAATTTGTGTTTTTCGTCGAAAACCCTTCTGTAGGGGGACACGCCCGATATAAACCTTGGGCCACGGGCACCTCTTCACCACCCACCAGACCACCCCAAACCAACCTGAAGGCTTCAATTTGCCCTCCATTTCCAATGGGGGGGGGGGTCGGGGAACACTGGAAGCACACATATGGAACCCGTACCCCCCCCAACCCGAAATTCGGGTCAAAGTCGGGTCCTCGGGTTGGGTTGGGGTGGTGTGGTAGGTAGTCACGTCTAGTAACACCCGAAAAATCACGACGGACGGTTTTTCGCTATCTCCTGCCTCTGGGGGCCTTTCCCAGGCTTCGGGGCCGTGCACACAGTGACTCAGGAAGGGAAACCGGTCCCCTGGAAGGGGTCGAGACCTCCGGGGGTCGACGTTATGCCGGACGGGGCCAGGACGAGGGTAATTCCGCTCCAGAGCGTTCCAGAACGCTCCCGGAGCGTTCCGGAACGCTCTTGAAGGCCGCGGTGCCCGAGACATCTTCCAGATTTGCTGGATCTCAGAGATTCTCGATTTATCCTCGTTCGGTTTATCCTCGTGCTGGCTGCGTCTTAAGTCGAGACCTCTGGGGGTCGATTTCATGGACAAATCATGACGTCGGGGATGGCATGGAGAGAGGTCCCCGAGGGAGTCGGGCCCCGAGACCCCCGAGCCGTCCTGTCTGCGGCTCTGGTGCCCGCGGAGGGCCCCGGGAGCCTGGACGGCGCCGCGAGGAGCTTCAGGGACAGCCTCCATCCTCCATCCTCCTCTCGATCCTCGATCCTACTCTCGATCCTAGATCTTCGATGCTCCTCTCGATCCTCGATCCTCGATCCTCCTCTCGATCCTCGATCCTGGGGTCTGCACGGCGTCTTGAGCGCAGTGCACGCCCCTGGCAACGATGCCCTCTGGCATCCATTCGCGGACCGCCGCGTTCCGAGTTCCGAGCTCCTCGATCCTTGGACGCTCTGCGAAGGTCGGCGCCCGAGGCCACGAGGGCCCGCCCGCCGACCGTCTGCCCGACGGCATCCTGCCGCAGCCCCTGGACGTGCCGGCCGTCGTCGAGGCCCCTCGGTCCTCTGTTCGATCCTCGAGCCGCGAGCCCCCTCGTGGGCCGTGGGCCCGGAGCAGCGGGGCCCGAAGCGCGGGAGAGGCGGCATGGCCAATCTCGAATCTCGAATCAGCAGATTTGACAAATCATCACACATCTTCAGAAAGGTTCTCGCCGTCGTTCGGAGCAGAAGCATGGCACAAGCATGAAGTCGGGCGTGCCCCTCTTACAGGAGGTATCTTTCTGGACTATTTTCTGGACTATTTTTTGCAATTTCTGGGTATTTTTGGCATATTTTTTACCTCCCCTCCCAAATCCGCCTGTAGGAGGACATGCCCGACCTAACACAAGCATCAATCAAGGGAGGAGAAACCACCCGGATCCGACAGTTGACGTTTACTAAACGGCCTCGGGCGTTTCCTCGAACAGCCCTGCCCTGTTCGATTCTTTTCCTGGGTGCGTTTACGAAGCGGCTTCGCTCGTCGGGGTGATCATTCTGGTGGTGGATTTTCTGCCCTCTCATCAACTCTCGGAGCTCCCCGCGGATTTCTTGGATCGGCGCTGGTCTCCTTTGGCGGCGCCTCTGGCGCCCCCCCCCCTGGCACGCTCCGAGCGCCAGAGAGGTGGGTCCAGCGCCCATCCATCAGGGGGGGGGGAAACCACAGACGCAATAAATCGCCGATCCCCAGGGAAACATGGGACGTGGAGGGGAAGACGAAAACGCAGAACACCTGTGAAACTATGGGGAATCCTTGGATCTGCGTCTATTTCCTTTGGTGTGTCCCAGGGCCGCTTCACATCCCAGAAGCCCGCGCGGCGCTCCGCACGCCCCTGTCTGTGCCGCTTTGTCTCCTCGCGGAGGAGGAGGAGGAGGAGGAGGAGGAGGAGGAGGAGGAGGAGGAGGAGGAGGAGGAGGAGGAGGAGAAGGGAGGAGGAGGCGGAGGAGGAGCTCCCGGCGAGGGGGTCTCCCCGCCAGTTCCCCCGGGGGGGCCTCCTCGCCGTGGCGGGCGGAGGCGGCAGGTCTCTTTTCGTGTGAGCTCGCGGGCGCCCCGGGTGGCGCCTGGCGTCCTCGTCGCCGTGGGCGAGGATCGAACCGGAAGGCTTCTGTGTTCGCTTTCGGCCTGCGCGGGGGCCCTGGATTGCCGGGCCCCGGCGCCGTCAGGAAAGGGCTGAGGTCGCAGGGCACAGGTCCAGACCTCTTGGGGGACCACGCCGTGAAAAATTCGTGACGTCGGGTACCTGGGAGGACAAGATCCGCCCGCTGTGGCGCCACTACTACCAGGGCACGCAGGGCCTGATCTTCGTCGTGGACAGCAACGACCGCGACCGCGCGGAGGACGCGCGCGAGGAGCTCATGAAGATGCTGAACGAGGACGAGATGCGCGACGCCGTGCTGCTCGTCTTCGCGAACAAGCAGGACCTCCCGAACGCGATGCCGGCGGCGGAGGCCGCTCGGAGGGTGAGGGGTGAGGGGGCAAGACACGGGGCACCATGAGGACGATGCAAGAACAGAGGCCCGCGGGCAAACTTTGGAAGTCGAGGGCGCAGATGACACATTGAATGATGATGATAGTGATGATGACGATGCTGATGATGGTGATGATGATGATTATGCTGATGATGAAGATGATGATAATGGTGATGCTGATACTGCTGCTGCTGATGATTTTGATGGTGATCATGATGATGCTGATGATGCTGATAAAGGTTCTGATGACATTAATGATGATGACGATGATGACGATGACGATGACGATTAGGACACTGATGATGCTGCTGCTGCTGATGATGGCGATGATGATGATGACGATGGCGATGATACCGATGATGATGATGATGATGATGATCATGATGATGATGATGATGATGATGATGATGACGCCGATGACGACAACGACGACGACGACTATGATGGTGATGATGATGATGATGATGATGCTGGTGCAGATGATGTTGATGACAATGATAATGATGACGACACAAAAGATTACGTCGACGACGATGATGACGATGACAATGACGATGACGACGACGATGAAGACGATGATGATGAAGATGATGATGTTGATGATGATGATGATGACGGCGATAGTGATGATTACGAACGATGTCAATCTGAACAGGTTTGGCCCACTGATGATGGTTACGGTGATGATGCCGATGATGATGATGCTGATGATGATGATGATTATGATGATGATGGTGTTGGTGACGATGATGATGATGAGGATGATGATGATGCTGCTGATGCTGCTGCTGATGACGATACAGATGACGATAACGATGACGATGCCGATGATGATGCTACTGCTGCTGCTGATGATGTTGATGATGACGATGATGCTGATTTTGTTGGATGATGATGCTGATGATGATGATGATGATGGTGATGATCATGATAGCGATGATGATGCTGATGATGATGATGATGATGATGATGATGATCATGGTGATGATGCTTCTGCTGATGATGATGATGATGCGGCGTTGGCGGTGGTGGCGATGATGATGACGACGGCGATGATGCTATTGATGATTTTGATGGCAGTGGTGATGGCGATGGTGATGGTGATGGTTATGATGATGTTGATGATGATGACGACGACGACGATGGTGGCGAGTATGAACGAGACTGCGGTACAAGACGTATCTGAAGCTCGGCGAGCGCTGGCGCAATCGAGATTTCGGTCTTTTATCGCCACCAGTTTATGCCCGAGACTTGAGGGTTGGCCGACGACCATCCCAATCAGCGATTACAGACTCGCCTCGGTGCCTGCGGTGGCGGCACCCTGGCGAGAACACGGCAGCGCTACAGCCCGCGCTGACCGCAACTACACATGTATATATTCATATGCGAGTCACAGACACACCATATTGTACATACGTGCACACCTATATTATATACACATACACGTGTGTCGGTATGTGCACGTACGTATTATTATACCTATGTATTCGTATATATATATACACATATTCTCATTCCCCAAACAGTGCTTGCGCTTATGGGCTCTTACTTCTCTTCCAGGGACTGTGGCCGTGTGGTCGGTCTGGGGGCTATGTCGCCGTCGCCGCCCCCTCGCCGCCTCGTCGCTGCCCGTCGTCTGGGCCGTGTGGTCGGTCTGGCGGCTATGTCGTCGCCGTCGCCGCCCCGTCGCCGCGATGTCGCTGCACGAAACATAGATTCTCCTTCCTAAAAGAGTGCAAGGATCTACCCCCCCGAATTAATGGGACCATTCTCGTACTGCAATTTACATATGATTCTGCCCCATCGTCCACCGTGAATATGAATCCATATCAGCCCAGCTAAACCGTAAGGCATCCTTTCGACATCCTCAGGAATCGTTCGGAGCCAGGAGGAATCCTCAGAAATCCGCGGCAATCCTTCAAGGATCCTTCAGGAATTTGTCACAGATCTTCAGAAATCCTTCAGGCATCTTCAAACATCCTTGGGGATCCCCAGAAATCCGAAGGAAACCTCCAACAATCATTACAAACTCCTCTAAGGAGCCGGTGGGGAGCCTCTGAGGAGCCTCTAAGGATTTCCTAAGGAATCTTGAAGAACCCCTAAGGCGCTTCCAAAGCAATTGAAATTGGTACCAGTTGGTTGGAATTGGTGCCGAAATGGTTGGAATCCGTCCTAGTTGGTTGTAATTTCTTTCTTTTTCGGGTTCTCCCTCCAACCTCCCCCTTCTTCTGAGTGAAAGTCGTGGGGGGGACTTAAACTCCCCCCTCCTTTGGGCGCCGACGACGGCGGCGACGACGGAGATGGCAGATGCGACGGCAACGGCGCTTGGCGCCAGTAAGCGACGACGACGACGTGTCCCGCATGCCCGCCTGACCGCATCGCCTACGACGACGTCGATGTCGTGTCCCGCCCGCCCTTCCGACTGACGGGCTCGTCCACGACGACGAATGCTGGCGACGACTGCGAGGGCCACGGCGACGGCGCCGACGTCCGCCGGCGGCACACGGATGACGTGTCCCGCTCGACCGATTCGCCTACGACGACGCCGACGTGTCCCGCCCGCCCGCCCGACTGCTTCACCCAAGAGGACGTCGACGACGTGTCCCGCCCTCCAGCCCGCCCGACTGACGGACTCGCCGGCAATCGACGACGGCGACGGCGGCGATCGCGACGGTGACGGCGACGACGCCCAGCGACGAAACATGATAATGACGACGTGTACCGCCCGACCGATTCGCCTATGACGACGTGTCCCGCCTGCCAGACCGACCGATTCGCCTACGACGACGTCGACGTCGTGTCCCGCCCGCCCGCCCGACCGATGGACACGCCGGCAAATGACGACGACGCGGCGAAGGGGGGGGTTGGTGAGCCCCTTCCCAGACTTTCAGAAGGGGCGGGTTGAACCCCCCCCGCCCCCCCTGACTTGCAGAAAGGGTGAGGGTTTTCGCAGGGGAGGGAGGGGGGCAGGTTCCAGAGTGGAGGGAGGGGAGTTTCGAGGGACGATGGGGGCAGTTCCAGAGCGGAGGAGGTTGGGTTTTTGCAGCAGTGAAGCGTAGACAGAAGGCGCTCTCTCCGAAATCAAGCAAGCTTCATGAGTGCGAAAAGATGCTTCGCGCCACATGACGGCGCGATGCGGCCCAGATGACGAATTCGATGACGAAGCATGCTAATTATCCAGCTGCCTACGGCAAGTCCCGCCACCGTGCCTGGGCTTCGGGTATGAAGCCTATTGGATGTTCTTTGGGATCTCGTGGGAGGCCTCTCGGGGGCCTCGTGGAGGCAGTTTTGAGGCCTCTTGGGTCGTTTAGGGTTTGCTTTTTTGCCTCTTGGGGGCCTCTTGGGGCCTTTGTGGGGCCTCTTGGGACCTCTTGGGCGCTTCTTGGGGCCTCCTGGGTGGGGCTTCCTGGGGGCCTCTTGGAGAGGCAGGCTCGGATTTTCCGTTAGTCTTCCCTCTCTTGGGCTCCCTTTGGGGCCGCCTTGGCGCCCTCTTGGGCCGTCTTAGGCGCCTCTTGGGCCGTCTTAGGGCGCTCGTAGGCCGTCTTGGGGCTCTTTTTGAGGCCTCTTGGGCCGTTTTGAAGTGGTATTGGGGGCCTCTTGGGCCGTCTTGGAGCGTCGGGAAACCGAAAAGGCGAGACCCCCAAATCCATCAATTACCTAAAGCAAATCAATGATTTAGCATGGAGGTCTCTTGGAGGTCTCTTTGGAGGCCTCCAAGAGGCCTCCTTTTTGGAGCCCTCCAAAGAGACCTCTTGGAGGCGTCTTGGGGCGTCTTGGAGGTCTCTTGGGCCATCTCTTGGGCCATCTTGAGGCCATCTTGGGCGTCTCGGAGCGCTCGTTCGGCGACTCGGGGCCCTTTTGGACCGTCTTGGGGGTCTCCTGGGCCGTCAAAGAAGCTTTGGAGAGCCCCAGGGAGGCGCCATGGCCGCCCAGGGACCCCCTGGGAGTAGGGGTGTTGCAGTCGGCTGGGTGCTACCAGAGCGGTTTGGGGATCCCTTTAAAAGACTAGAGGAATTCTGCCACACAGCCCTTGGCATTCTTCTCCGCGTCAACGTGCCGCAGGCACGGTGGCGGATCTTTTGGCATGACGAGCCAAGTCGATGTCGCGAACAAGCCATGTGTTTAACTCCTCCAACAGTATCCGTTGCGCAGTTCCCTGTCTGTTGCTCATACTCAGGGCGCAGAGCAACCTTTGTTCAGATATAGACTTGTCGGCGAATATTGATGCTGTTGCTGCTGATGATGATGATGCAGATTTTGATGACGATGACGATGATGACGATGATGACGACGACGACGATGATGATGACGATGATGATGATGATGATGATGATGATGATGATGATGATGATGTTGATGATGCTGATTTTGATGATGATGATGAGGATGATGATGATAATGATGGTGGCACCTCTGATGGCCACGGCGCTGGTACTGCCAATGATGCTGCTGATGCTTCTGATGATGATGCTGATGATGAGGATGATGACGATGGTGGTACTGTTGGTGGTGATGCTTCTTCTATTCTCTGTGAGCAAGCTCCTGCTGTCTCCGCAGCTTCTCTGCCCAAGTGCCCCCCCGTCGGCCGCGCGTGCGGACGCCTTATGCAGGCGGTCGCACAAGCGGCTCTCGGGGGCGCTGGGGAGATCTTCTTCAGGGGGCTGCGGGCCGCGCTCTACGAGCGGCTCGTGTCTGCCCCCCTCTCTGTGCTTCAGGACCAAGGGCCTCCTGCGCCTGCCTGGTCCATCCAGCAGGCGGACTCGTCCGAGGGTGAGGGGGCTTACTGCCCCCTCCCTTCGGCGGGTTCCGCCTGCCCCACCGTCTGCCTCGGGCTGGCGGTGGATCTGAGCGGCGGGGTCTCTCCCTGGCTGCTCAGCACGGTCGTCGCCCTCCTTTGGGTGACGGCCGCGTGCAGCGCCTGCGCAGGCTGCTGCTTCGGGCTGCTGGGCCCGTACGTGTGGCGGAGGCTCAGGGCCTCC